CACTGTCTTTGAAAAGGATACCTTTTAGGGCTACCCAACATCTTAAAACTACCTCGTTGTTTTCTCCATCACTTTTTCACAATTGCATTTATAGAAGATGGCAGTGGTGATGACAAAATCATAGGTAGATTTTAGTATCATTAGCATGCTACACCTTTCAATATCACATCACCAAGCTTCCCCAGCCATTTCATGTGACTATTGAAAAACACTGGAAGTAGAACGTAGCCTGAAGGATCCTATCAAATAGTTTCTGTTTTGAGGGAGACCTGTTTTAAGTCACACCATTTGGAATCTACCACAGAGAGATAAATGGTACCAAAGCAAAGCAATATCTTCAATTCCTGATCTCTGAGAGGATTTAGAAGGATGCCACAGTATCAAAAACCACTAATTCAAGAAAGACTGAAAGAGATACGTTTTCTCCATTAGTATAAGCCTGAAACTGGTGAAATAGGAATTGATGATTCTCCAACCAGAAAAGATGTTTTTGTAAACAAGGGACTGATGACCCAAATATGTTAGAACAGTCACAAGTAGGCATATCGTTTTTGAGTTGAAATAGCAGAAGGAAGAGGCACAGGATTTAAATCTCAAGATTAACTTATACAGAAATCATGATTCCATTTTCCAGTGCTGTTAACTGGAGAATTTTTTTCACATGTATGAGTTTCTAATTTTTTACACTAAATATATTACTGTAAATATTACTTTTTTACAGTATATCTACTTTAAAATGCAAAGCAGGAAGAAATATTTGATTGCCATATCTGGTGTCAAGCTCTGGCATCAAACAAAAATATTCATGACATCTACAGATGGAAACTAATCAAGGAGAGAAGCAACCTGGAATTAAAGAGAAACTTCCTAACAGTTAGGACAATTAACCAATGGAAAAGCTGTCATCAGAAGTAGTGGGTACTTCATCACTGGAGGCTTTTAAGAAGAGACTGGACAGTCACTTGTCTGAAATGGTATAGGGTCTCCTGCTTGAGCAGGGGGTTGGAATAGAAGACCTCCAAAGTTCCTTCAGCTTGATTCTGATTGATTGATGAGAGTAGCCAACTCTAAAACTTGGCCCTTCAATCAGGTGAAATCCACTCAAATTGCAATGTTTCCTCCATGATTACTATCACTTTTTCAATCATTTTACCAAACTGTGGATGTTTGAATATTAACTTCTAATTATTATTTTTTTTTAAAAGATCCACTGCAGGCTTTTTCAAAGTACAAACTCCCTTGAGCCAAGCATCCCTGCTAGTAATCCCATGGGTACATGCATGTAACATCCATGTTGCCACACGGGCAATAATATGGACATAATTTGTCATTGATTTTTTTCTATATTTTTTCTGTACTGTCTAGACTGCCATTCTGGAACATCTCTGTGGTTCTCTATCCAGTCCTAACCGTGGTTGACCTTATTTAGCTTTCATCACAAGCCAAAGTCAACTTGGTGCTGCAAGTTGTTGTGGCACAGGTGTCACGACCGTCCGTTGACGACAGGGTTTTTTGGAAGTCTAATCTGATTTTTTTTCTTTTTATAAAGAGACTTCATGCTTTTGCTCAGAGTAGTCTTTTTGATGTTCACAAAGGGATTTTCTAATAATTTGTGTCAAGAAGTTACAAGCTACATTGTGCAATGATGTTAGAACATACCCTCCAAGCAACTTGGCCATGTATTTGGGTGTCAAAAACTCAAATTGATCCAGCGTAACTAAGTAAAAGAAGTTACCAGACAGTCCCATAATTCACTTTTCTTCTCTAGCAGCAACCAGGGTGGTCTGATTAGAACAGATTTCATGCCAACAAACAGACTTACATAAAAATAAATAATAACTAACCTATTCGAGTTTTAGGATCAAATTCTGGAAGGAAGTGGTTAGTAATGTGAATCAGCTCTCTCCCAATTTGAAACGATTCAACAGGCTGCAAATGGGCAATACAAACAGAAAAATAGTTCTTTTTTGCTGCAAATCTCATCAAAATTTATTATTTCAAATTGGCTTCACACTGCCTTATCAAATTTGAATCACATTGTCATCCACTTACACTCTGTCTTATCACTTCAATTTCCTCAAGTCTTCTAAAGCAGACTGGAGAGGACCCTGGGAGTGATTGTGTCAATTACCTCAGCAAATACCTTATTCCATGTAACAACTAGGGCATTGACGGAATCCTTGGTAGGATTACTCATAAAACTTCCTAGACCAGGCATATCAAACTCGCGACGTCACGTGACGTAGCGCAACGTATCGGAGCTTTTTCTCCATTGCCGGCAATGGGGTGGGCACGGTTTTGGGGTGATGCATCCGGCCCATGGGCCGGCAGTTTGACACCCCTGTCCTAGACCATCTGGAAGCCTTATAGATCTGATAGCCTTTTCAGACAACCATCTTAGTAGGTCCAGTGGTTTTACAGAGATGAGATGTAGCCATTTAACCAAATGATGGGTCATTTACGACAGTGGGGAGAGCCTTGAGATCCCAACAGAAATACAAATATAGCATATTAACATAACGTAACACAACACAGCAGAACACAATGTAGTATCTGTCTGATGCTCATGTGTTCTTCTATGAAAGGAATCCCAGTTCTTTCCTTCACTGTAGTTTTTGCCTTATTCTGTCTCAGAGGCCCTCTGATCATTTCATTTCTTCTGCTCTTCTTTCCCAATAGGTGATAATTGTGAAGTGGATAGTCGGGCAGGACGTTGTGTTCCTGGAGTGTGTAGGAACGGAGGTACTTGCACCAACTCTGCAGACGGAGGCTTCCAATGTCAGTGTCCCCCTGGGGGCTTTGAAAAACCATTCTGTGAAGTATCTGTACGCTCTTTTCCTCCCAAATCTTTTGTCATGTTTCGAGGTTTGCGCCAGAGGTTCCACCTGAGCCTTTCTCTTTCGTAAGTTCGGCTAAAAAGCAGCTTTGTAAGAACTGCCTTTATCTGCCATTGATGGTGTTGAATTTTATCTTGCTGAGTTCCATTATACATTTGCCCTGACTTTCAAGTTAGATTTCTCTTTCATATTTGGGGGGGGGGGGGGAGATTCCTAAGATATTAGTTCAATCGAAATATCTCCATATGTGTGAGGGTTTTTAAAATTTTTACTAGGGGAATGATTATAATTGTTGCCAACTCCCACTTTCCTTGAACAAATACTCAAATGTAAATCAAGCAGAAATTCAACAAGTACAGGTTTCCTGAAAATGTGGTACAATGATTAGTTGGGCTCTATATTGTCAATTCTGAGGGGGGGAAAAAGATGGCAAATCTACTCTTTATTGATGATTTGATAGCAATATAATTCTTTTTGCAGTCCTAATACCAAATGGCAATTACACCAGGTGACTTGAGTACAGTACCAGGAAAAATTGTATGAAAAATTCAGAGGTTTTATCATTCATGTATAGTCCTAACTTTGTGAAAATTTATCTAATTTGCTTAAGTATGTGTGAAAATTCTAATTCTTTATATTTCATCACTAGATTTGCTACTGTAGAGCGTGGTGGTCTCTTAATTTACAATGGACGTCTGAATGAGAAGCATGACTTTCTGGCTGTAGAGATTGTTGATGGGCAGGTCCAGCTGAAGTACTCTACAGGTGGGTGTGGCAGATGGGTCCATGCTGTCCTCACTGCTGTCCTCAAGAAGTTGCCATTGTATTATCGAAAGAATGGTACTTACTATAAAAACTTTTTATGTTGAGAATCTTATAGAAGCTGTACTTTTTCAAAATTAGTAACTATTGATGAATTCCCTGAAAACTCTTCTA